CAACATCAACCCTAACCCTAACCCTAAACCAAACCAAATCCAACACTTAAAAAAAACAAGACCCAAAGTTGATTTCCCATATTTGCTACATTCTTCCCCCTTCAATTTTCAATGGCCATTAGACAACTCAGTCGTCTTCTTGGCATAAAATCTTCTGTATTTGGAGTCAACTTCAGTCAAATAGTAAGTCCCAGGAGCTAAAAGACTTGTATCTTTGCTAGTCACAAAATCCTTGCCCCCATATCGATGCTCCATCACCTTCATCAGTTCCACAAATTTTGCTGGTGGAAGCTGCATGCACCAAATAACAAACAAATGATCAAATATGAGTAAATGACCATTTTGCCCTTCTATATGTATTAAGTCAAAATGAAATGTCCCTATATTATATATATTTGTCCGGAGAAAGTCCTGTATACGCAAAGCTTGTTTTTTTTTTTGGATCGAATGAGCTGTCTGAATGTGAGCAAATGACCATTTTACCCTTCAATATGTATCAAGTAAAAAAAGAAATGCCACTATATATATTTTGTGTGGATTGTACACAAACTGAATATAAGTGTTGTATACAAAAAAAAAAGCAGCTATATATATGTCTGGAGCAAGTGTTGTATACACAAAGGCTTTCTTTTTGGACTAAAAGCACATCTGAATGTGAGTAAATGACCAATTTACCCTTCTATATGTATTAAGTAAAAGAGAAACACTCCTATATATCTGTTTAAAGTAGATGTTGTATATGCACTGACTGTATCTCTTTTGGACTGAAAGACTGTCTGAATGTGATTAAATGACCATTTTACCCTTATTAAGTGAAAAAGAAACACAAAGGAAGTACATATATGTATGATATACCTCAGTCCTTCTCTTCAACTTCTCATCAACATTCATCACCTTTGCAATGTTTGACAAACTAAAAGGCGCTTTTCCCTCACTAAGATGCAATGAAAACATGGTGGCAGATAATCCACTTCCATATGAGAACATCATCACCCGATTTCCATCCTGAAATCAATATAAAAAAAATTGGATTAAATTTTTCTAAAACATTTAACATTTATTTCAAAATGCTTAATTACCAGAGAGCTGTTCTTATCATGAATAAGAGAAGCAAAAGCTGCATATATAGAAGCAGTATACATGTTCCCAACTTGCTTGTTGATCAATGTTCCAGGTTGAACTTTTTTATCATAATACGGTTTTGCCACTTGTTGAGATGCCTGCAAGTTTATAAAACATGAATTTTTTTTTCTTAAATTTCAAGAAATAGCAATTTACTTTCATTTTTTTCTTATTACAACATTCTACTTTATAAAAACTAACCAATTATAAACAAATATATGAAAGTATGTTGCTATTTCTTGCATTTAATCTAATCCAATTTCTATATAAAGAAATCCAAATTGAACTATAATAATACCTTTTCAAGATCACGATTTTGGTAGCTTTCATCACCTTTTAGAGATGTGAATTGTCCTAGCTTCTCTTTGGCAGACTCATCAACAGAGCTGAAGAAAATAACGACATACTTTCAAGTTCAATGGAAGGGTAAAAATGTAAATAATTAAATAAAGTTAAGAAAACATTATAAATATTAAATAGTTTCAACTTTCAATAATCACCTGGCATTTCTAGCAACATCACTGAACACTAATCGAGCAAAACTCTTCTGTACAAGCTGCAAATTTTCATAAAAATATATTAAATATATATTATTGTAGATTCTATAATGAGTATCAAGAATGGAAATAAAATAATTGTTAGTTAATCAGTTACCTTGTTGTAAGGAGAATGAAATACAAAATATTCAGCATCAGCAATTGAAAACTGTTTTCCTTGCAATTTCTCATACCTATAGCATAAAAAAAATAATAATAAATAATCTTTTAAACATATTTTGTTATTCACATTAAACTAATAATAGAAACTTACTTCTGACAATATCCCTTATAACAAGACTCAAGTGCCATGAGATAACAAGTTTGTGAAAGCTTTCCATCAACAACCTAAATCAAAAAAATTAACAAAATCTAAAAGATTAGCAACTTGTTTTTTTTATGTAAATTGACCAAATTGCCCTTGTAGGAGTATATACCGGATATTCACTTGCAAGGTCAGGCTTGTAAAAGTCATAAACATGTGACATATGACTTGCTCTAAATTTGCTTTCAAATGCAATTGGAGCATCTGGTCCTATCAGCATTGCAATGGCAGCTGCTCCTCCAGTGGGTCTAGCGGGTCCCTCTGCATACACCTAGTAAAAGAAAATGACCAAATTGCCCTTGTGGAAGAAAATTTTCACAAATGTGAAATAATACCTACCGCACTGTCTGTACAGACAACTAATCCATAGCGCCCATCCCATGAGTTGCTTTCAACCCAATTCACACAGTTTAATAATGCTGCAGTTCCTCCATAACAAGCATTTGTTGAATCAACACCTTCAATATCTGTGTTTCCACATTCCTACAAAAAATTTAATCATTAACTTTGTTAAGAAAAGATAGATTTATGATATCTGATACCTCAAAGATATCCATGAGGAAAGTCTTGATGGATTTGCTTTTGTCTATAACAGTTTCACTTCCTACTTCCAACCGACCAATTTGCTTTGGATCAACCTCGTATTTCTCAAGTAGTGAAGTGACAGCTGTCAATCTGAAAATATGAATAATTATAAGTTTCATTGATTGTTTTAAAGAATAACATCATCTCTTTCTAATAAGTTGAACTTGAGATTACTATACTGAGTTACTGACCCCATGGAGATGACATCTTCTACTTCTGAACAAAATGCCATGCAATCTTGTCCAAGTCCAATTGTGTATTTTCCTTTACTAACTCCATCAAAATCCTCTAGAGTATCCTGTAAAATAAAGTAACAAGTAAAGAAAATGTTTTATTTAAGGTGAAACAACTTATATTTAAGATCTTGCTTGCAAGTAAATGTCAGATCAAATGGTGTGTAAATTACTTAAAAGTCCATGTCTTTGAAGGTCTTAACTCCAAAGTTATGCAACTTTCTTCATGGGATGTGTAAAGTACTAAAGTTGCAACTTTTAGCTTTTTAGCAAAATTTCACACCAAAAAGTTTATCTAGTTTTAAATATCGGTAACCAATGTTGATGGCATTGATTTTGATCCACAAGATTCCTCCTATTTTTGTTGTAATAATTGATTAAATCAAGTGCAAATTTGAACATTCTGCATATATATTGTGTGTTTAAAAAGGTGTGCATGTGCAACTTCCATAAGTTAGTCATGCTTATATATAAGAACTCCATATTTGACCTTATACGAGGCATACAAAATTGCTAATAGTATCCTGACCCTGAGTAAAAACTCAGTCGAAAACCCCTTAAAAATATGTATTCGGTTTAAGGTTATTTACCATAGCTCGCAGGAATTAAAGCTTTAGAAAAAAAAATTTCTCAAACACATAAAGCAACTTCAAGACTCTGGTCATAATCATGTTGGCATGAATAACTTAACAAAACGCAAACAGCCACAAAATCCATAAGATTGTAAGATTATCCGTATTAGATCCACTTTGCATGTGCAACTACCCGTCAATCTTCACAACAATTTAATATTAACCCAAAAAAGACATGTGTTTTTGCACTAATTGATTTTACGAAAAGCAAAATCCAACTGTACGATAACAGCAGTCACATAAAGTTGTCTAAAACGATTTCATGATAACAATCGGATTGAAGAAAGCTAAGTATGAAGTGTCGTGCAAGCAGTTTAATGCATTGATTACTGAAGAAGGCAAAGAAGAATTACCTGTTGGATACAAGTAGGAGGAAAGTAGATTTCCATTGCGAGAATTCCGACGTTTTGAGGAGCCATTTTTGCTTCGTTGGCCGAGAAAATTATTGCGAAACAGTAAAAGGGTAATAATCACCAGATCAAACGGAGAACAACGATCTGGATTTAGATTTAGATTTTTGTTTATATTTGACAGAGAGAATCTCTTCTTTTTACAAGTAAGAGGGATGAAGAGGCTCACATGTTGGAGTTGCATTTATATAGCAAATTAGAAAAAGAGGGGTAACGAGGGAAGTGGCTAGCGATGGACTCCTTATAGATTTTACCCTCATTCTTCACGTAATTTACATAATTTGTCACTTCAACAAACCAATAGCAAATTACATATAAAAAAGGAAAAAAAATGATATTTTCAGAAAAGCCCTTAAACAGTTAAACTTGTAAAAAAAAAAAAAAGTATGACTTTACCTTATTTTCATATTATATATACTATTAATTGTTAAAAACGAACAGTAACCTTTTTTCTCTTTCATATTTGGACACGGAAGTTTGTTGGCTTTCTTATTTTGGCACTGAAACTTCTATTTCTGGAAAAGCACAAACCGCCTTTCAATTTTGTTATCCTTATCTTCTATTCTTCTCTTGCGATTGCCGCCTTCACTACCATCCTTCTCTGATCTTCTTTCTCTGTCAACCACGTTCCAGTTCCTTTCCTTTCACCACTTCATGTTTGGCTCTGCGATTCTTCCTCCACTGCTTCACTTTGTAAGTGATTTTCTACCACTCTTCAAAGTTCAATCTTATGCACGATAGATATATAATGAGATGGATATCTGTGATTGATTTATTTAACAGTTTCTATATATGATCTTTTGTTGTTATGATAAGAGGTAAGAGGAAATCACTCCTGACACCACAATTGAATCCCGTGTTCCTCTTAATTTTCTCTTATTTGCTTTTGTGGCTAAGGGTTAATAGCGATTCTTTATTTATCTGTTTTTAGGGCTTATCGAAATTAAATTTGGGGTTTTTGTTGTGTAATTTGCCTTCAGATAAATCTCTGTTTATGTTTTCGTTTACAGAAGTAAGCTTAATTGGATTGTAAAGCTAATTTTGCAAGCCTCACACGGAAAAGTTAACAGTTGTTGATAGCAAGACGGGTGAGAGAAAAGATAGCAGGTCTGTTGAAACACTTCTTAATCTTTTTACTTATGCTTGAGTTGATTCATATGAATTCAATACGAATTTTTTTTGATGAAAAGTCAAAAACATCTTCCACCTCTATTTTTAGGGTGCATACAACCTCATGAACATTTTTGAGGAGGGGAAGGGATAAGAAAAGAGCAATACACAAATGAAATATAAGAGAAAAATAAAAAGAAGGAATTCACACCCACAACTCCTCTTGCTCTTGTAAGTGAGCAGCCTATATGTGAAAAGAAATCTGTTCAGCGGTTGGTTACTTTCATAGACAAAGATAGTTCCAAGGATTTTCATATCACAAAGGTTGTCTTTCTAAATTTAAAACTTTTAAACTCTTAAACGGGTTTCTATTTTGTTAAATCTCAATTTGATATATTTATTTGTTTTTGGTTTAGATTTAGAAACCAAGATCTTAGATTATGAACTGTTGAATTATAGAGCTACTAACCATCAACATTGATTTAAGGGTTAAAAAGAAGGTAATAGCAATGTCATTTAAATTACAAATTAAGAAATTTTAGCTATTGTAATTGGGTTGATTTTGTAAAATGTACCAAATTATAGCAATTCTTCCTGAAGATGGTAAATTACAGAAATACCCTCATTGAATATGCTTTCATTTTTTCTTTATGTTAAAACCGGCATGAGTGGAAATAAGAAGTTCACTTATTTTACCCAAGACATCTGTCTTGGATAAACCCCCATAGCCCATTTCCTTTTGTCCACTTTCATGTCACTACATCAACTACTTGATTCCTTGTGAGTATTCAGAGATGACATGTCTGACCTTTTATTCACATGTACCTTTTTACCCTTATGCACTAAAGATTTAGGAGTCGTTTGTTTTTTTTAAACACGAACCCTTTTTGTAGATTGCTTTCTGTTGGAGACGATGGTCTGGCAACTTGAAGTGTTTTCCACAAACCAGCGCTTCCCTCTCCTTCTACCAGCTCCATGTGACTCCTGCTTCGATCGTCTCGTGTTTCTCATTAAGTTTGTGGTAAAAACCACAATTTCAGGTTATTTGTTTATCCTCTTTCATTCTTTCTATGTTCTGTGGCTGGTGCTTCGACGCCCTAAATCCTTCTTCTCTCTCTTATCTCCAGGAAATCAAATCAATGACTTTACTTGCCGCAAGAACAAAGGGGAAGCAGAAAACACCGACTCCACCACACCGGTTGATTTCGAATACCTTTTTCGTTTCACTTACTGTAATCGATTGGTAAAGTGACTTGGATCCAGTTGACGAGTTCGACAGGGAAATCAACAACGCATACCGGCACTGATGATGGTGGTGGTTGCCGGTGGCGGTGGCTTCTGTATGTGTGTCTCTCTCTCTCTCTCTCTCTCTCTCTCTACAGTTTAGGGTTTTCCAGTTTCTTTCCTCAAGAATTTCAGGTTACATTTTCTAAGCCACAAAACCCATTTTGTAGACTTCTTTGGAAACGGATTCGGTTTCCTTGAATGAAAGATTAAGAGATTAATTTGAGATTATTAAAGCTGATGGAGGTGATTGCATCCAGAACACGACACGACTATAATTTGGCTTCAACAAAAGCCCAACAAGTAGGTATATATATATATATAAATTTATACTTTCTAATAGGGGCAAATTTAACACAAACCCAATACTCAGAACAATAGTTTGTGAAATGGGTTAGTTTTGTTGGAAGTTTAAAGCATTCCCTTTTTTCCACTGCTAAGAACAAGTTTTTCCCTTCTTATATGATCACTGTTGACAAGAATCTTGTAAGAGGACATTTCACCACCATTCAACAAGGTATTGATTCTCTCCCTTTTTTGAATCTTATTAAAGTTGTTATCAAAGTTCATGTACGAGTTTACAAGTAAGTTGTTTTAATTTGATTCATGGTGTTAATGTTTTCTAAAGATTTTGAGTTTGAATATGTATCAAGGAGTTTACAAGTAAGTTGTTTTAATTTGAATCTGAATTTTCCTGGATATAAGTTCATATTTATCTAAAACCGTACATTATCAACGTTTTTTAAATGAATGGACGAAAAAAGTTTCTGATCATGATTTTGTTGATTGTGACTTGTGAGAGAACACGCAAATTTGGAACATTTATATTTTGGTTTTTTTTTTTCTGTTAATTATGGGAACTTTTTAGTTCATGCAGAGGTTTTATAAAGACAAAATCTGATAACTTTTGAGGGTGTTTATTGTTTAATTTGGTCAAATTCTTATTTAAGAGTTTTGAGTTATAATTTGTATCTTAATAATTACATGCATATTATAATTTATAAAATTTTAAGAGCAAATGAGTAGTTTTAATTATTTTAAATTTGGGTTAAATACAGAAAATAACAATGGTTTGTTTATTAAGACATCATTCTTCCTTTTACAACATTCAATTCTTTAAAATATACATTTTATCATTATAATAACGCCACCCAAAATACAAAAGTACTTTTTTTTCTGTTTAGTTTTAGAACTTTCAAACTGATTAAAAAAACTATAAATACATATAATTATTGGATAAAATTTCAACTTACGTTATCACAAAAACAAAAAACTAAATATATAATATTGTAATATAAAAAAATAAAATAACATAGTCTGAAAAATTCGTATCCCGGTAGGCATTCTCTCATTTATGCAAATGACTGAAATACCCTTTGCCCACTGTTGTGCTGTGCTGTGTATAAATTATAAAATTGAGGTTATGATCTGGTGCAGCATATGCTTCTTTGGGGACTTGGTTAAGAATTTGTATTCTTAGCAACTGATGGCTTATGAGACTACATTAAAAGGTTCAATCTATCTTACCTTTCTTTTTTATGACTTCATTATTTTATCCATATATATATATATATATATATATATATATATATATATATATATATAGGGTTATATGGAAAACAAAAAAACCCTAAAAATCATAAAACTGCATAAAAAAAATACTTAGACATCACAAATCTTTTTTTTGACTTTATATACCAAAAAATCGCTACTTTTTTTAAACATTCAGAAACTAAAATCATTTTGTGATTCAAATCCACCTGTGAATGATGCAGGCTGTAGGCTGAACGTGACAGGCTACAAAAAGAAGGTCCATTACTATACAATTTAGAATGGGTTAAAGCATGTAAGAAAAACACATCACGTGAAGCTGTTGAAAAACATTTTGAAGAGACTAGAGAACATGAAAGCTGCAATGGACTTCAGAGATTGGTGCAAAAATGAATGTGTCAGACTTCTTGGATCCAAAGGCCTCCTGTATGTTGAATGTCTTCATTAATATAATATTATGTTCTACTACATGATACAACTTGAAAGAAGAGAAAATAAACTAACACAGAGCCAATGGCGCGCATGATTCCCCTCTAGTTTATTTCAATTAATAACAATATTTGAGAAGCTTCGTAGCGCCCTCTTAGCATGCGAGAAAAGCTAAGATAGTTTTTGTCTTCAAGATTGGTAACAACACCTCCACCTCTACCTGGTTTGATAATTAGTACCATGTTGGTCCTTGTCGAGTTTTTAATCTCGCATGTTATTCATAATATTAGGTTTACATTTCATTCCAAGGTCAAAGACATTATCCTCAACGACTGTTGGGTCCGCCCCCATCTCTGGTGTGACCTCGATGCGACAAATACATGGTCGTGGTGTGAAGTTTGGTTGAGGATCACATCTATCTTGTCATATAGTGGACGCGATGGGACCAGGTCTGGGTTGTGACACGTTGGCTGTTGATTTTAACTAAGTTGATCATTCACCGTTGACTTTTGACCAGTTTGACTCTTGGTAAAACTTTGTTAATTTGAGCTATAGATTGAGGTTTTGCATATGTTTGAATTAGGCTGTTTGTGTAATTGATTCATTTAAGGACTCATGTGAGTGTGTGATCTCAGATCTTCAGTTTCAGATGAGTCTTCTCACTATATCATGTGTAACATTGTATGTCTAGCGTGGTAGGTGTTGGATTAGGAGTCTAAGGTCATAACTAAATTAGTATAACTTTATGAAATAAAAAGCAAAGTTCTTTTTGGGTTGCCCTTAATAACTAGAAATAGTTAAAAACGACTTTAGGAGAGTGAGGAAATAACTTGTTGATTTATTCTTTGATTTAAATTAATTAGAAATGGTTAAATAAATAATTGGAATTAATTAGAATTAATTGGAAATTAATTTTGGATTAATTAAAATTAATTAAAGGTGCAAGGTTTGAATTGTAATTGTTTAATTGTTAAGCAAGGAAGGCATTCTAGAACCCTCTAAAGCATTGACGGTTTTGAAATGGATCAAGAAGGGTTTTGGAAGTCTCCTATAGCTCATAAGAATAAATGCATTGAATAGATTAAATCATATTATTTAATCATTCAAATCAGGGTTTATCTTGGAGATCTACCAGCTATAAATAAGAACCATAACCATAGAAAAAATTGATCCTACACATACACACAATAGAAATTGGAATTCCTCCACCCTCATCTCTCCTAATTCGTTCTTAGGGTTTCTGAGGTATTGAGTGTGAGTCATTAGAGACATCCACACTATTGTTGCTTGCTTTCCAAGGAAGGATTTGAAGATTAAAGGTTGCTATATTCTATTACAGCTAAATGTATGTGTTATAATATTTGTGATTTTCAATAATACCTAGATTAGTTTTTTAGTTTCATAGTATGTTGTTATAATGAGAAAATGTCATAGATCTGTAGGTTACATGTGCCCATAAACTAGTTTTATGATTCCGTTGCATAATTTTTTTGTTTTGAACCTAGAAAACTCATAAGTAGTATCAAAGCCTAGGATTTTCTATTGTACACGCATTGGTGAAAAACTGAAGAAACAGGAAAAAAAACTGCTAATCGCAGGCGCGACGCGCCCTGCTGGCAGATCGAATTTCAGGATTCTCTTACCTTTTTTGAACTGTAGGATAATTACTAGATGTAAATGGTTATTTTAATTGCTTAAAATTTTGAACATTTATACTACGTAATTGGATAAACCCAAATTCGAAAATTAAGGAAGAAAATAAAGAATTAATATTATTTAATTAAAAGTCCAATTAAGATAATTACTTAATTCTTCAAAGATTTAATGTATTTAATTAAATGTTTATTTAAAAGATAATTATTAAATATTAAATGGTTAAAATACTAATCAACTAAAAGTTAATTAAGTTAATAAGATTTAAAACTTGTATTCTTAAAAAGTTTAAAATGCACCCTTACATATATTTATAAGAGTATATAATATTATATGTAAAAGAATAATAATTCGTCAGTCAAACCAAGATCATGCCTCTTTCATAAAGTCATGCTATAAGATATGTATAAGCAAACGACCTATAAAATAATCGTTGAATGAGTGTCATTTTCACTCACCGCTTCTTTGTGTGGTGAATTGTCGTTATCCGAAATGGTTCTTATAGGACATAAATCTCGTTAAAAGAATAACATAAAGTACTAGAACACAACAAATCCCACTCTAGTTACTTAGGAAAAAAATGTAAACTTGTATGCTAATCCATGAAAACACACATTGTTTCTTTGTAAGTCGTTAATGGAGGGTGTGTGGTTAACCAACACACTAATTCGGGACTACAAAGTGAAAGTGATAAGAAAACTCAAGTTTATGATTGTTGACGAAGCATATTTGGCAAACCGGCACGCCAATGTGAGATCATAAATGAGAACGAGGGTGTCACGCGGGTTTGTATGGTTATTCACATCTTGTTTGTGATCCTTGGTATCGCAGTCACAAAAGTAAGAGCATAATCTGAGATTAAACATTTCATTGATAGTTCAAGGAATCTCAAAGATCTAGGAGTTTCATAGTGATTGAAATTCGTAAAAGTGTATTACCTACCTAACATAGATTCGCAATTTGATTACGACATCCCTGTTCTTATTACAATTTGAAAACATGGATCCTAACCTTATATATAAACTTGGGTTAAAATATATTAAGGATTGAAATCAACTAACTAAAACTTTCTCTTATATATATGTCTGGAAATGGTGATCTTCCTCCTCCTCCTCCTACCGCTGAAAGTTCAAACTTCACTCTTCTATTAATTTTGTTAAAGGAAAAACTCACTGTTCCGAACTACATGGACTGGATGAGGAATCTAAAAATGAATCTTCGTTATGAGAACAAGGAGTATGTTCTCAATAACCCTATTCCTGAGATTGACATGGAAACTGCTACTCCTGAAGAAATTATTGCTAATGCTAAACATGTTAACGACGCTACAAAGGTTGTTTGTATCATGATAGCCCCTATGATTCCAGAACTGCAAAAGTACTATGAGGGCTATTGGCCATATGAAATGAACCAAGCACTTAGTGAAATGTTTCACAATAAATCTAGATATGAACGTTATAAAGTCGTCAAATCCCTAATGGCATGCAAGCTGAAGGAAGTAGAATATGTGTGTGCTCATGTGCAGAAAATGCAGAGACACGTGGAAAGGCTGGAGAAGCTCAGTGTGAATTTCGACAAGGAATTGTCCATTGATATGGTTCTTAACTATTTTCCCAGTTGTTATGATTGGTTTATCTTGACTTATCATTTGAACAACACTGAAACGACACCAATGCAACTCCATAACTTCTTGAAAACTGTTGAAGCGGGAATGAAGAAGTCTCATCCCACTAGTGTAGTTACTACTCTTGTTCTGGCCATTAATCAAGACAAGGGGAATAAAAGAAAAGCTATCGCCTAACCTAAGTGGAAAGGGAAAACCCACATTGGAGAGTCTAGTTGCCTGTTAAAAGGGAAAGTTGACTATGAAGTTCCTCCTGTTAATGATTTGAAGGGGGCCATTTGTTTTCATTTTGTCCAAAAGGGACATTGGAAGAGAAGCTGCCCGAAATATCTACAAGTGTTGAAAGAATGAAAAGGCAAAGTGTTTAGTTCTTCTTCGGGTATATACACTATTGAAATGAATAACATACAATTTTCTAATTCTTGGGTCCTTGATACAGGATGTGGTTTTCACATTTGTTCTGATACGCAATGACTAAGGGAAAGTGATAAAGTCAAACATGGAAAGCTAAACCTGATCATGGAAATAGATGTTCTTCGCCTGTTACAAGGATCGGAATTTATGTGCTTATGTTTGATAGTGGTGTTAGAGTAGACGTAGTTATTTGTTGGTATTCGCCTGATATAACAAGGAACGTAATTTCATTTCATGCTTTATTAAGACAAGGATGCATTTGATAATGATAATGGTGTGATTTTGGTTTATAAGAAAGGAAATCTTCATAAAAGTCCCAAAAATTAAAACAAATTAATGATTAATTCCTAAAACATTTTTTGAATAAAAAGTCTAGAAAGCTGGCTAATTTATTCAGTTCAACCCATTTTAACCTTCTGAGCAGGTAAATGGGTCTTTATGAACCTTTTCATCGTGTAAAATGGTCTTTATGAAAAATCAATGGGAAGTCAAAGAGGTCAAAATTGACCTCTGTTACCACCGATCGCAAAGGAAAAGAGGGGGAGAACGAGAAGAGATCGGAGAGGGGGAGAACGAGAAGACAAAAGGAAGAAGGAAGATAGAGACGAAGAGATCGATTTCAGTAGACATCTCTCTACGCTTTTCCCCCACCTCGTATCGATTTCACCACCGATTGTTGAAGCATCAATGAACAGGAACCCATCAATTTCACCGCCTGCTACCTCCATCTTCCATTTCTATTCCCACCGTTCCTCTACCTCCGTTTAGCCATTTAGGTGATTACTTTCATTATCTTTAGTTAAAACTCTATTTTTCTCTATAGTTCTTGTTTCATAGAATTTTAGGTTTTGTTTTCTATATCTCTCTTGTTTTATGGAATTACAACTTTCATGTATGAAGTTTTGAGAATTCCATATTAAGTTTCAGTTTAATGTATACAGAGTATGAATGTTGAATGAATTTCTAGTTACTTAATTTTTGCACAACGTATATGGAATCCGACTATTGAATAATTTATGAAGAATTTTCTTATCGAGAAAGGATTAGTGCATGTTGGGTGTTTTAGGGTGTTCTATGAAAGTCAAGTTTTCATTTGTTCTAAGATTCAGTTTTGATTACATGTTTTCTATGATTCTAGCCTTTATTGGGTTGAATCAAAAGTTTATTTGCTATTGCTAATGAGCACCGATGGTGGTGGTGATTTGAACGAAGGCTGAATGGTGGTGGTGACTTGAACGAAGGCTGAATGGAAGACCAATTTTGACTTCTTTAGTTAAATAACTAGGCCACCTCTGCCCCCATGTCATTAACTTAGGCCACCTCAGCTAGTTACCTGGTGAGAGGCTAAAAAGGGGTTGGCCTGAATAAATTAGCTGGTTTTCTAGGTTTTTCTATTCAACAAAAATTAGGACTTAATCATTAATTTCTTCAAAATTTTTGGACTTTTCTGCAGATTTCCCTTATAAGAAATTAAGATTGGTGTTTTTATTTTCAAATCTTATCCTTGTAATGGTGTGTATGAAATTTTTGTGTGTGTGAATAATTTAGGAAATGGTGTATATAATATTGATTTTTCTAATAGTTTAGACAAAGCGTGCTTATGGCATTGTTGTCTTAGGCATGTAAACAAGAAACGCATCGCCCAACTCCAAAAGGATGGAGTGTTGGAATCATTTGACTTAAGGAGAAATGATGAATGTGAATCTTGTTTATTAGGAAAGATGACTAAATCACTTTTCATAGGAACTTGTGAAAGAGGTGAAGGATTGTTGGACTTAATTCACACCAATGTGTGTGGACCTTTCATATCCGCCACAAGGAATGCTAACCGCTATTGCTTGACATTTACTGAAGATTTCAAAGGATATGGGTATGTTTATTTGATTAAACATAATTCAGAAACTTTTGAAAAGTTCAAAGAGTTTCAACACGGAGTAGAGAATCAACTGGGCAGAAAGATAAGGATGCTTTTGATCTGATAGAGGTGGAGAATATCTTAGTATCGAGTTCAACGACTATCTCAAGGAATGTGGAATACTTTCACAATTGACCCCTCCTAGGACACCACA